CATGAAGTCTGCTTTGCCAGAACAAGTGTGGCAAAATTAATAAATAATTTATTAACAAAAAAAAAATTGTTTAGTGTCTTGCATTTGCTAATAATATTTTTATTATATATATAATATATTATATATAATTATCATATAATTATAATTATATATAAATAATATATATATAATAATTTTATTGTATATAATAATATAATATTATTATATATAATTTTGATAATTACATCGTACAAAAAAAAAAATATAAAACATTTTTATATTACTACATTGCAACTAATATTTATTTAAAAATATATTTTTTAAATCATATATTTGTTTAATAATTTATTTATTTATTAAAATGCTTAATGATAAATTAATTTACATTTTAATGAGAAGCTATAGCAAAAAAAAAACATATTATTTAAATATATTTAGCAAAATTGAATTTACGAATTTAACTATAAATTTTACTAATGGTTTCTCGCGAGGTTGTGGAAAGAAATGTTGAGAGGAAATCTACAGTGAAGCCAGAGTTATCTCTCACTACTTGTAATCGAGGACAATTATAGTATGTAAAAAGTGGTTAATAGATGAAGAGTGAATATGGTAGTATTGGGACATGCCAGGAGATTCTCGACAATGAATATACTCACAAATCATCACGAGGCAATATCCCAGGCATATACCGGTTATAGGTTTTAAGTGTTTTATGTAAGCTGCAACGAGTAAAGGGGCTTGCTATTCTGTGGTTTTATTTTAGTGGTGAGGTGATTTGAAGAAAAGATATTGATTTATATATTTTTCGATTAGTGAATTTAGATTTGCTCTCAATCTGTCATTTTTTGGTTGAACTTTGTGGCCCAATCAAACATGTCAAATAACGTAAAATAGTTCTTAATTTCAGGGTAATTTTATTAATCTGAAAAATATTTAGAGTATTATACATTTGCTTGAAATTAACCAAACCAAAATGAATACTGCACTAAAAGTAAATCTTCGGTAAAAAAGTTACCCTTAATTTGTCAATCAAACAAGACATTAGAATATTTTAAAATAAAAGAAATAAAATGAAGGATATTCTGTTTTTTTTTTAGTTTTTTGAGTTTTAATTTCAAACTATTAATAAACTTAAACAGCTGAATAAAACAATTTTAGTGACTTGAAACGGCTTACAAAATCTGCTATAAAATTAGCTATGTATATACCAAAAAGGACTCAAAACGTTTTGTGGTCTACTTCACTACTTCACGTTTTCGTTCACTTCAGTGGAGCCACTTGGTGGATGGTGCGCTGTCCCAACGTCCCACAATATATAACACCAAAAAGAATTATATACCACTAGATTATGTTTGCTAAAATATGATCTAATTAATATTTGGATTAATATTTCCATATATTTATCCTTATTTGCATTTAACCTACTTCTAATTTTGATCGTTAAATTTTGTACTATTGTATTTGCTTTCATATTTTATATAATATGTTTTCACACCAAAATAACAAAATTGAGTATTTTGTTAACTTAAATTCTGAAATAATGATCTTTGAAAAATTAAAGAAGTCATACTTAATCCAAATGTAATACAACTGCAGTCCTTCAAGCCCCGACTCTCCGACAACATCATGCCTTATATAAATAAATATTCGAAATTATTGCTGGGTTTAAATCAAACACTCATTTATCTCTGACAATAATGAACAATAATGAAAGTTCAAAAATTATGCCTTTGCGGGTTAACAAAAAATCCCCTCCCCCTTTTGACAAAAAAAATGGATTTTTCAAATATTTTTTAAAACAGTTTTTTTCCACAGATTTGTTTTAAGAAAACTTCCTTTTTGAGAGAGAATGAAGGGAATTTGAAGAAGAATGTCTAAGGTAAAAAAATTTAATTATTTATTCGTAATCAATGTACTGAAAACGTGAAATTGTTATCTCTTCAAATAAAAATTTTTTTATTAACCACTTAAAAATCTAAAAATCTTAATTTTAATACGTTATTGCCAGAAATCGAGATATCTCGGAGAAAAATGATTGCAAATTTGAATTCAGCGGACTCAAGTTAAATTAAAATCATTAAAAAGTAAGAAAAAGGAAAGGAAAAGACTTCATTTTACCCACACAGTGTAATCAATAGATCTGCAAAGATCAAAGCGGAAATCGATGGTAAATAAATTTCTATAGCATCGGGACTAAAATCAATATTTTCAAGTCTTGAGTATTGTCAGTATATGGATATCATGTCCCTGGTTACCAACGAAGAAGGTCTAAAAAACATAAATACTAGGTGTGGGCATCAGTTATTTTGTTTATCTGATATAAAACTATAAACACACATAAGTTAAGTCCGCCAAATAAAAGTGTTTTTATTTTGTACTTTAGTGATCATGTCGAACTTCATGCCGGAAAAACAACCTTTGCGGGACGTATTCCTTTTCTTATTTAATCAAAAGAAAAAAGTGAATCAAAACAGTAACAATTTTACTTAATATAAACTATTGTGTTTAATAGAGAGGTTTCGAGAAGTGGTGAAGCACAACAACAAAATTTTTATTATTTCAATTATTTCAAATACCGTTCATCAGTTATTTGTTATTTTTAATTATTCGTAAATAATTTTTTAAGACTGCAAGTACCAAGAATTAAACTCGTACCCAAATTTGAAGCTGAGAGTCAGGTTTCATTAGCCAACTAATTTAATAGAGTTAATATTTCTTATGAAAATTTTTTTTCATTCCAAAATATTTCAAAATTAGTTTTCAATAAATTACTACATTTAGTAATGCAATTGATTAACAATTATAGAGACACTTAATGGCCTCTATCCGCTTTCTATCCGTGAATGCGGCCACAAAAAATCCAATAATGAGCCTTTTTGAATGTGGGGCAAAACATTAAATTAAATGGGCATGAACAAAAAATTAATAAAAAAAGGTAGTCTGCGTTTATGACGACAAAGTTGAAAACGTGTCTTCTAAGTTGTCTGCACTCTACGACGCCTGCACATGGGAAGATCTCAAGCGACCAAACGACCAAACATGGTTTGCTGCTTAAGTTGATCGACAGATATTCAATACAAAAAAAAAAAAAAAGCAGAGAAAGATAAAATTATAAAATTTTAATTGTGAAACAGAAGAGATTGTCTGAACTGGTGATGTCTCGCCGGCCGTGTGAGCTGTGCGTTAGCTGCAGAACAATAGCTACTTATGCCGCTGATTTGTAGATTTACGAGATTTACGAGCAGAATGCGTGCATTATCTGCAGGGCTCAGCGGTGACTTGATTTTTAATAAATGATAAATATCATGAGATACAAGCGCATTTCATAAACGGGAACGGATGTCTACAAAGCTCAACCAACGATCTCCAAGCTTTGCTGTTTACAAGTACTAAAAGGTATATTAGAAGTGCTACCGGAAGCCACTGCCTGCTCATGTATCTTCACACAAAAACCTCAAATCTTAAATCCAAGAACAAAAAACAAAACAAAAAACAAAAAATAAAGAAAAAAATGAAAAGGGAAATTATGATTTCAAGTGCAACTAAATTTTTTTTTCAAAAAATATTTCAAATAATTATTGAAATATTGATTGCACATATTTATGTGTTAACGTCATAAAAAGTCTTAATTATAAATATTATTTAATGATTGTGGCATCTCAGAGACACAAAAATGCATGCCTAAATCAGTGGACTCTTTCCCCACCTCATGCTTGTAAAGAAATGACGACTGTGACTGTTAGTTACTGTGTCATGTTCGTTTTGTTCAGTATATAATATGGTCAATCCACTCATTATATATCCAATCAAATCATTTCAAACAAATTTCAATTTCCATTTTCAAAAAAAAAAATTGTAATTTTATGGATAGATACAATTAATTAATTTTGTGTGTGTGTGTGTGTGTGTGCCTGATTTTTTGCTTTTAATCTTCCATAAGCCATAAGCTACGGTTTATCTAAATAATTAGACAAGTTTATGTGCACATAAATTAAAAAATTTATTTATTTTGAATATTTTCCATTGCAAGTTGACGACATTTAATTAAAATTCCATAAACCAAAGTTATTTTATGACTTTGTTTCACGTTTATCTGTAGTCACTTCTGAGAGCCGTTATTGCCCTGAACAGTCGGAATATTGTGTTTACACATTTCAAGTTGTCACACTTTTTGACTTCAATTTAATCTGAAACTTTAAAATTTTATGTAAAATCATTCATATATATCCGCTTAAGATGCTATTTTGACTTTTTTTTTGAATTCATAATAATCGTCTTATCTATTTGTACTTATTTATGCCTAAATCGCCAAGAAATCAAAATACATGTATTTCATCGTACCGTAGTCCCGTAATCGAAGCTATGAAATCGATTAAATTTTGTTCACAATTTACACCAATTTTATTACCACCTAAAGCAGTGGCATGACATGAAAGGGGACGGTGGGTCTGATTTTGATCCAGGTTGACTTCAATTCAAGTCGCACCTCTCCTCAATCTATTTCTACTTCCTTTCAGAGAAAGGAAGTCTCAAAGTCTTTATTATTCCTTTCAGGTTCTCCTGCTGGTTACTACAATAACAACAACTTGAGGATTTGCTCAATATAGTTTTCAATATAATTAAAAAAAATATCAAAGCAAATACTAGAAAAGACCTAAATATATACAAATATTGAACGAGTGATCATTAGCTTTAATCATACAAAACAAGAAAAAGTTCATATATATGGTATATCTTATATGTATATTAGTAATTTTTGCCTTTTGTATAATATTACATAAAACCATAATAATTCCCATAATTCTGTTTAATGCCGGAAACGTGATTGCTGCCAGAGTATATATAGGAATCAACATCATAGCACTCATTTTCAGTACATTTTATTCCTCTATTTTCTTGGTTGGTTAGTAGTTACTAGTCAACAGATATTCTTCCTCTCTTAATAATTAGGGATTATTTGACATTTCCACCTTGCACGAAGCGCTTAAATATAAATTAAAGTTTGTTGAGTTTAGACAGTTTAACAAATCTTCGGTTCAATAAGTATTCCGGGAGCTTAACTAAAAGATTCACACCAATAAAAGTATTCCTTCTTGAAGTCAAAGTTTGTAGTTGTTTCTTCTTTGTCAAAGTTCTCACATCTTCAGCGATAAGTGTTGAATGGAATCCATGGGTTCCATCCTATACAAAAAAGTACAATTACCCTTATATTTTTAACTCGGTCTCTATTATCCAATTGTCAAAAGCTGATCTAATTGTAAGAAGAGCAGGTCCAGCGAAATGTTGAACATATTGAGAGTGGCTTCCATTTTGGATTACACAAACGAAAATAATTAAAATAGGTACACATTTTGGCGGTTACTTAAGGTTCTAAGATTACTTATATCGATTCTCCAAAAAAGCCATCTATATAAACGTCAAGACAGACTAAACTGTTTGCTTTTTTATTCCATTGGTTCGGCATTATAATGCTGATTAAAATGGTTTTGTAGCCTTCACAGATCTCAATTTATAGATGTCACCTGCAAATACATACAAAATCATCAATTAAAACGAGAAATTAAAAGAAAACCATTTTAAATATATTGTAGTTATATAAACTATCTTATATTTGAAAATATTTATGTTCATTTTATATCAAACGTTTATAATTTTATTTAAAATTTATAATGTAAATTTTGATAGTAAATTGTGATTGAAAGTCCCTATCGATGCAAATCATCTACGGCTCTGGCAATATATACATGAATGAACGATTGATTGTGTTAAATTCGAATGCATTTTGAAGAAAATGCATCCTCAAATTGAGTTATTCGAATTATATTGGATTAAATGTATAAAAATTAGTTTTAAAATCTCATTTTTTTCACATTTTATAAATATTTTGAATCGTTTTGTGACAAATGCCAAGCATTAAATATTAAGAGGATTAAACAATATTCTTGAATGGTAAATATCCAATATGAATAAAAGTATTAAAGTATTAATAATATTTATACATAAATCTTTTATTGCTTAACTAAACGATTTAATGCTTTTAAACAGATATCTTATATCTTAGCTTTCAAAATTAGTAGAGTCCCTGTTTAATTATTTTGGTTTGTAAATTAGTCATTGCGAAAACGATTTGACTATTTTCTAGTTCCGTTAATATTTATCTGAAGAGATTTCATTATACTCAACAACGAATAACACACACATTTTTATATTGTTATTATTATTATATCGAAATCGCATAACAAAAAGTATTGGAACACATATAGGTCCAAGGACAGTTGCTGTATTATTGCAGAACTCACCTCGTTTTTTCAAAAACATCTGGTTTCCCATAAAAACCCTAACAGCCGTATAAAGTCGCTGTACACAAAACTGCCAATTCTTCACAATTTCTTCTTCACTCCAGTTTCTCCTTTCTCCTAATTTCTCGTTTGTACCAATTCTTCATTTCCCCCAATTTCTCGTTCGCCCCAATTCTTTATTCGTCCCAATTCCTACTTCCTCCCTATACACAGGTCTACCAGTTGAAGTCCCCCGAACCAGTTAAGTCTGTAATATAAAATTTTACCGGCAAAATTTTATTCTACATTAATAAAATAATAATATTTAAATAATAATAACAAAATAAGAATAATAAAGTAATAATAATATAAAATAATAATAAAATAATTACTAAAATTGTTAGTATTGCCACAACAAAGTGGCATTACCGTTGATGATGCCATAAATTAGACAGCGTCCATATGCCAGATCTAAAGAGCCTCCTTAAAAATAGTAGTCCCGAAAATTTTCAACACTATCGTTTCTCACTATTATCCTATACCCCTCTACTTTATACTAAGTAGAGCCTAAGTACTAAGTAAGTACTAAGTAGAGTCTATACTCAACTAACCGTCGTTTCACTCAACTACTTCCTAACAAGTTGACAAAAACAAATATATGTACATAACCAATTTACTCAGACAAGAAATTTATTCAAATTAGGAAAAAATAAACTCTATTAACTTCTACCCTATATAAACTAAAGTTAAGTATAATTCTTAACAATTTACAAAAAAAAATATGTTTTATCAATTCGATTATGATTATGATGATCATTTGCAACGAACAAGATGAAGGCCAAGAATAATCATCTGCAGTAGCAGCGGGGCCTGAACGCAGGTCACACCGATGGAAGTCTTAAATGACTAATAGGGATCCTACCTCGAAGTAATACTAACGTAGGCCCTGGGTAGGATAAGATCTCTAGGAAGGAGGAAGAGTGGTTTAGTAAGTGCGAGTAGGGCACTTATATTCCGGGGCGCCGGATTGTTGTCAATGCGTAGGCATTCCACTCCTTCTTGCCGCAAAAAACAACAAAAATAATAACCATTTACAACGAAACCAGTTATTTCCAAAAATATAAAAATATATTTTGACAGAAATTATTGAAATCAAACAATAGTTTAGCTTAGCAGAAAAGCTTAACCTCAAACCCAGGATTCAGAAAATAATATCAGCTATTTGTAATACGAACGCCGATCCACAGATCGACTGCAAGCTTAGAAGTTACTCGCCTATAGAAAACAAAAAACGTGCGATCGTCTAACGTCAATGTAATTTCAGCGACCACAGGACTTGCGTACAAACACGACTTGTAATAACAATAAAATATAGGTGTTAATACTTACTCTTATAGTGGAGGCAAACTCGTACAATTCTAAAATATAGAGCACATATCTTTCATTCCAGGTATACAGTAATCTGTTTTCTTCTTCAATGCGATTAATTCATTAATTTTGTTCACTTTATTAGTATTAGTGTCTAATAGAATTGCCGATTGTGGAATACATGCATGACGTCAACTTTTCTAGTTTCTAATAAGATTGCTAGCTCCTTCTTCTTTGTCGCAAACAGAATGAAAAGTAGGTGGAAAATAGCGAACGAACACAAAAAAACGAAAATTACTAATTGCAAATGCGAACTACCTGTCAACGCAGTGTTGTAAAGCGCATGAAATGCGCAGATTATAGGAAATTGGTAAAAAATAATATGATGTCGGTTATTGAAGGATTCTACAATTTTCTAATTGATTGCACAAAAATATAAAATGTATTATTAAATTATATAAAATGTGTGATTTTTATTAACATTGTGTTAACGTTAAACCTTCCAGAACAAATTTATTATTAAACAGTTGACCACATAGCATATTATCAGCTGATTTGGGTCATGTTTAATTGAACATTAAGTCGTCATATCTTTTTAAAAACAACAGACGTGTGTGGGAACAGTGTATATGAATTCCATTATCCAATTTAATAGAACAATTAGGAAGTAAGTAATTTCCATTCAACATCACAACAGCAATAAAAGCAATAGCAACAGCAGCAATGATTGACTACCAGCAATTGTTGAAAAAAAATAAGAAACTGAACAACATACAGATACAGAGTAATTTTACATACAGAGTAAAAAAACTGTTAGAATTATTAATTTCTGTGAGAAATAGAAACAAATATTTTAAATATTAACAAAAATGTTACGCTTATTTTTCCATATAGCATATTCTAAATTAAAATTATGTTTTGCTGGCTACAAATTTAACTATGTATTATGCTTTAGTTACACCGCGAAATCTAACAATCTATTTCGTAATTTACTTTGTTTCAAAGTGTTTACACTGAAATAATTCACTATATGATCATAAGTTTTTTGTTTTCATAACTATTTGGTGCATGACATAGAACGTTATATTATCTCTAACACCAATATACTTTAACAGGCGTTACAATTTTCACTCTGACTTGTTTAATAATATGGGGTGTAAGTCTCCACAATTGCTGACGTTTTATTTGGACGCCATTGTACGGGTTTTGCCAGTAATCCTGCTCTAGAATTGTGGTTACAACAGCTTCTTGCTTAGAGTTTAATCTTAATAGTAATTACGGTTGGTAGTAAGAAAATCAATTTTGTAGAAAAAATTTATATAAAACTTAAAGTAAAAAAAATTATTTTTAAAAAATTTCTTCCAAGTGCAGTCTTATGTCAATCACTTTGCAATTCATATAATTGATATTAAAAAAATTTTTTTATCAATATTTGGTGCAATATGTATATATGCGCATATATTAACACTTGGCTAAATGGAATGTATACCAATAGGTCTGTTCCACGAGCTACTCGTAGTAACTTTAAGTAACACTGTATATACACAAGTGCGCTCACCAAAAAATTTTCGGATAAATGAGAACATCTGAGAGAGAGTAACATCCCTGTCGAAATTTAAAAATGCTACACAGACTTTACTCGTACATTTTATTTCAAGTGAAACTTGTGTTGATGTGTGAATCAGCTGTTTTGGTTTGAATTTAAATTTTGACTTTAAAATCTGTATAAAGAGCGTAATTTGGCTCTTTATTTGTGTTACGCTCTCAGTTTGTACTTTACTTGTGTTTTACTTGAGTTCTACTACGAGTAGCTCGTGAAACAGACCTATATTGACATTGTGAAAATTTTTTTTTTTATAAAATTTTATATCAATATATTGTGGTATATGTATTTACATATATTAGTACTTGGCTATATGGAATGTATACCAATTGAAACCAATTTCAATGTTAATACAATGTTAATATATATGCCTCTCTAGTTTTGACCTTTAATTAAAAAAACAATAATTACATATTTTTGTAATGACTATTTACTAAATTCATAAAAAAAAATGTGTATATATATCTATTCTAATTTAAATAAAATAAATCTGGATTAATTATAATTAGCAAAATATCATTATTTTAAAGTGGCAACGCTTAACGCCGGCTTGCAATATAATCCTTTTTTTTACCACACGAAATAGAAGACAAGTTACTCATTAAACCCTTTCAGTTGTTGTTGTTGGTTTTTGTTGTAATTTGCAATAAACAAAATTGCTTGACAGCTCAGCATGAACTACACCAAAAATTTTGTCAATTTGCTTTGCTTATTAATTTGAGTGGAGACCACACGGCATGGATGCGCGTCGATCATTAATCAGCGGTGGAAAATGAAGAAGGTGAAGAAGGTGAAGAAGAAGGAATATACTGTCTAAGGCTGTGAAATAAATTTGCATAGTTCGCAATCAAATGAAAATATTTAATTTGTTTTTGTTAGTTGCGTGCTGTGCAGCAAGAAATCGTAAAACATCAAGTGTTGTATGTATGTAAGTATGTGTGTAATAAAACGAAGTAAGACAGCCTTGAGCGTAATTATAATAAAATATCAATAAAATCAAATAAAAATTCTGTGTTGACATGAACGAAACCAAAAATGCCATCAAATAAATACCAAAATACCAAAAGTGCACATTTCATTATGCTAATAAAGCAACAGCAACAAAAGTAAAAATCATAAATAAATTAACGAATAAGAGTGATGAAAAAATTTCATCAGAAAATTTCTATGGTAACCTTAAGCAAAAACAACACGTATGAAGCTATGCACTACACCAACAATGCAACAATACTCAAAGTAAACAGCAACAAACAAGCAAAACTCTCAGCAGCAGCAGTACTAGTAATGCGTATCACACAAACAAACATGTATGTATGCATGTATATAAATGCCTAATAAGCCGTCTTTAATCAGTAAAAAATTGCTTAAAATTTCTTTTATGCATGAAATGGGATAATGAAGTGTGTTTCAATGATTTGTTTGACCCCTGCCGATCTCTGATATTACATTGTTGTTGTATTGTTTAGTTAATGAGTAGCAGCAGTAGCAGCGCAGCTAGCAGCTAGCAGCTAGCAGCAACGCTATTAACGTCTATGTTCTTTTATGTACTATGTAGGAGAAATATTAATATAGTAGTTGTATTAGCCGTTCGTGTTGTTGTTGTCAACACCGTCGTCAGTATAAGTGTGTGTACATATAAATAATAATAACAATAAATTGCGTACTCTTGGCAAGGTTGCTGAAAATATAAAAAAAGTTTTGTTTGCTATAATAAAGCGTAATTACAAAAATAAAATACATTTTAATATAAAATAAATACAAATGAATTGAGTAAGAGAGAAAAAAAAAAAATCAAGTACAAACTCTTATTTATATCAGAATTTATATTTTTATTTTTTGTGCAAAAACAAGACGGCATAAAAATTTTTAAAAAGAAATTATTTTTCACTCAATAACATAATTGAGCATGTGCGTAGAGGGGAGGGCATATGGGGTAGATCCCATTAACAATGTGCCTGAAGTACCATAGTATATTTTATAGATTTCAAATTGATTTCTCCTAAATGTTAGAGACCGATCGTGAACATATGATCAAGTGTATATACCAGACCGCCTGACGTATTTATTTATAATGTTGTTGTTGTAGTCCTGTGTAATTCTTGTATAGTTCTTGTGTAATATCTTTTGAGTTTCGTGAACGGCTATGGGCGTACACAGGTATATTTCAAAATGTTGTTGTTTTGAATAAAAATTTAATACTGTTTACAAGAAAAGTTTAAAATTTCTCAAAAATTTTAATTTAATTTTAAAAATATAAAAACTTAACACGCTTTAAAATATGTAAAAATATTAAATCAGTATATCAGCGCCCCCTCCTCCCCATACTTTCGGCCCTGGGTACGCCCATGTGAACGGCAATTGGTTAGAATTCGAAGAGTGGTTCTAGGACATATAACCATTTATGTCGTTTAAATCAGAGCTGTTTTGGCCAGATAAGAACGCGGGGCAATACAAATCACTGAATAGGTTGGAGAGCCGCAGAAATAAAAACATACGTTCATAAACTTTCCGAAGAGAAGTAAAAATACGGCGAAAATCTTAAAATTTAGTTTTATTAACTTATCATAAATATTAATTATTAATAATAATTATAATTAATTTATCTTTTACAATTTTATCAATAACAGCATTACTTATTTAATTGTTGCCATACGAATAATATTATATCTGTAATGTAATGACATGACTGGACTTATGACTGTAATGACTGGAACTGAGTTTTTTGAACCAATTGTACAAAGAAATACATATATAATAAAGTCTTTGTCAATTAAGTAAATCAACATCAAGTGGGATATCATACAGAAAAAAATAATGTATTTACCAAAATACAACAAAGAGAAATTTGCCTAATTGTGGTAGGTTAGAAATATGTTGCGGGCCGCACAAAGATTACCCTTGGGCCGCATGAGGCCCGTTGGACGTGCTTTGGACAGCCCTGGTTTCAGTAATAACGAAATTTAGTTTTAATTGAAACTGTTGTTTTAGGGGCCCCTTGTCCTGTTTTCTTACTGCGACTTATAAGTAAAATTAGTTAACAACTAGTATTATTGTACTATAGGTATTCGTTTTTACACCTCAGATACAGGTAAACTTGATATTTATGGAATTTAAGAGTAAAACTTTTTTTTTTGTTTAATTAAATTAATAATAAATTAAATTAATAATTGCATAAGTTTATTTTACTCTAATTTATTGTTTCAATAAAGTTTAATTTACTATTTTTATTTTTAAAACTGGCTCATTGGTCAATTCTTTAAATAAAACATAACTTTTTAAATTATTTTTAAAAATAATTTCGATTATAGTTTAGAATCACATCATAAAGGTGTGGTCTAATCTTTGACAGGACGAAGATGAAAAAAAAAACTGCAATACTTTCTGATCTAGTCTAATAATGAACAGAATCTCTTGCACAATCCTAGCAGTTCATCGCTAGGATTAGAGCTCATCGCTCTTATTTCAGTATTAATACGCTTCGAAAAAGAAGTGGTGAATAGCATTACTTCATATTGTCATGTCGTTGGAGGCAAACATAATAAATACTATAATTATTCTTACAGTATACAATAATAAACATGATTTGATTTAAAAATAAATCGGTTGCAAACTATTGCCGAAAAAGAAATCTTAAACGATTTTCCTGTAGATAAAATCTTGGAAGAGAATTGATATTATTTACCGGAGTCCTGAACTATACTAATATAAAAATATTATTTCATTGATATTTTCTTTACAGCATTAACAATTCACTTACTCGCAAGCAATTCCAAAGACTTCAAAATTCGGAAGACGACCATTGGTATAAATTCGCCAAAAATGCTTTGGCAGATAATAATTTATTCACGATTTCTATTGGCTCGTCGGAAATCTTTCAAGGTTCGGAGAGGTTAATTATAATTGTGTCGTTCGTCAAATCACTAATTGTCGTTCTTGACTAATTCAAAGGTAACTTTGTGTAATTAAAATTTTTAAATATATATTTATAAGTTTGTTTTTTTTTAGCGTTTAAATATAATCATTTCGAGTCCGAAATCAATGTTTATACTGATGGGGTATGCGGATACGCTGAACATGAATTCCATATTTAAGTTTATAATAGATTTATGTATCGCACATAAAGCGTTTATAACATCGATTAAAATTAAAAAAAAATTTTTTTAAAAATTTGGTTGATTAAGTTTTAAGTTTAAGTTTATATTAATATTATTTCAAAATACTTGATTAATTTTAAAATTGGAATCATAAGAATAATGAAATTTGTTGATGATTAAATCTATTGCCTCCTCTATGCATTTAACTCTATAGGATTAGAGGAACTCTATTTAACTCTATAGGATCTATAGGAATTATTAGAAGCCTATTTTCGGAATAAATATTAATTCATAACATTGAAGACATCTCTAAGCAGGACATGGACACATCCAGTCTTCGAGACATGTACGCAAAATGTCTTCGAAGACATTTTTCTAATTTGTTGGACAATGTCTTCGAAGACTGTTATACATTTGGATGAATCGGTTTGCAGGCATGCATTCATGTCTTCGAGATGTCTTCAATGTCGGAACGATTTGTTTCCTACTGGAAAGGAGGAATAAAAGAAGTGTTTGTGGTATTTGGCCGTCCACTCAGTGTACCAAACAACACAACTTCGTATCCGACTACCGTCTCACTTATGCTGACAACTGTATACGGATTTGCTCTAAGATAAATGTTTAAATCTATTGTCGACTTTACTGATGTCATCTATATTGGGGTAGTAGTCGATCGACTATGAAATGCGGAGGGTTCGCACGGGTAGCGTAATTGCGATATGCTTCTTCGTGGCCAAAAGAGAGAACTTGTTTAGACAGTAGCTGATTCCTGATAAAGTGCATTTTAGTTTCGGCATAAAGTTAGTTATTAAAAGCGATGGCAAATGAAATACGTGCGTAGCGCATATTTTTGACGTGATTGGAGATCGGATAGGAGATTATTAACCACAAAGGTTAAAAAGGTGATTAAAGATTTCGGAGAATTGCCAAATTGATTTCCATATTCATAATTATTTATAATTTAATAGTTTTAGTAGCGACCGAGTTAACACCTCGGAAACGCCATTTATTTTAAATAAATCTCTCTTAGCCTTACTACCAACACAGTTTACCTACAACCACAACACTTATAATTTTATATATTTTTCGGAAATTTAGCAATAATTGTAATTAAACTTATCGTTAAGATATTTTTGAGATATCTTTTTAGTTGTTTAATATCACTTTTCAACAAAATCGTGTTGAGTTAATTATTGAGTTAATAACATTAATTCATAAAAAAAATAATATTAATTCAGTGCTTCATGTTTGTTGTTTATTCAGTTTTATGAAAAAATTTCATGACTACTTCAAAAAAAAAACTTTTCTGTTGAGGTTAGGACTGTTTAAAAGTACATTCCATCCAAAGAATGATTTTAACGCCTTTTATCGAATTTCTAGAATAAATCATTTTTAAACGTTTTTTTCAGCTTCTTAGTTACTCTTTCTTACCTTCCAAATCCATTTCACTAGATATTGCAATCCAATCTTTATCAATAGAAAAGCGATTAGCATGAGAACATTTTCTCCAAACGCTCCAAGTTCGGAGCCCAAGCTAGTATCAGTCATCTTTCTTCAGATCTAAGCACTTTGAACAATGGAAAATGTTACTTTCTCTTGTAAGCGAAGTTCTTTAGGCAATCTATTGCTTTCGTTTCAGACTGAATAATATTACAAATTTTAATGAATACAATTTTCTTTCCCAATAATGATATATCTAAATTTTTTTCTAATACTTGCTATGTTAGTTTTTTAAATCTATGAAATGATTTTTTTACAAAATCATATTATATATACAAGTGTGTTGATTATTTCTTCGATTACTGTTTGCAGAACCTGAATTCCATTTGATGTCGACCGTGAGAAATAACCAGAAGGATACTAACGACTAATGTTGTCCAATGTATACTTGTACCTTTGATTTCTTGATCTTCGAAATGTACATTTCGATAACATTTATGACATAAACAGGCATAAGTTTATTATAGATATCAAATGCTAATGTATAATTCATGTGTTCGATAAACTGCAAGACTGGTTTATCGCGTTGGCCACATTTATCGATTTTGCTCTTTAGGAATTAGACTGTTAGGAAGATAAATGGAACATTTTTGATATGTTTATCACAGAAGGTAAATAAGTAACTTAAATACAACCGTTAGTAACAGTTAGTTCAAATTCCTTTAAATGTTTCCCACCGTCATTGGGTGGAGATATTTAGTTAAGTATTTCCTCCTTTTTATACCATTTACTTAAAGTAGTGTTGAAAGGGTATATCGGCCAATCAATATGTTTGTAACGCATTGACCCAACCATTTTAGACCCCATGAAGTTTATGTATTTTACATCCGTTTGACAAGTTGAGCTTAATTAAATCTGTCAGGTGTCCGCCAATTTAATTTCAGTTCAAGCTATGCCGACAATTTTTGCTATTCGAATGAAATTTTGGAGACATAATTTTTGGGAGTGGACCCTTATTATTTGTTGGACTAATTGTAATCGAACCACTATATTTTAAAACTGTCATATGAACTGAAGAGTAGGATATGAGTTTTTTCCACTCTTAATAAAGATATTCAAATAAAATTTGGTACAAAATGTACTTATATATGAGAACGTACAACGATTGTCTCTGTAATATGGTCCCAATCGGGTTTTACTCTATTGCCGTCAATGCCAAATTTTTACTTTGACAATGTGCTTTGAAAGTAACAACAATTTAATGTTTGACGTAATTATATATATAATTAGCTCATATCTATATAGCAGAAATCATGGGTAAGGATGTGATTGGAAGTGGGATGAAAAAGTATTATTTGGAAGAAGAGAAGAGAAGAATAAGTGCGTAGATGTATCTTTATTGAAACTAGCCAACGTCAAGGTGAATTACGAATTATTTAGCTGACTTTTTACATATTACTGATATCACATCTAACCACATATGATATTGTTTTGCTTTCTTATTTTTTTCAAGAAATTTCTTACATGAGAAATACTTGTGAGGTTATAGATGTATTTTCTTTTGAACATCCGATCGTTTATTTTTAATTTTATTAGTAAATGGTGATCTATTTGAAAGTGGGAAACCAGGAACCAAGCTTGGACGTTCATAAATACAGAACAAGAGTGTTAACTTATTTTATTAGTTGTGAGGAAATCAGTTTTATAGTTACAAGTACATGAAATAGGCTTAAGTGGTTAACTAAATTTATTCAGGGATCTTAACTCTCTCTTTAGTAATGCCTTAATTATTCTATTTCATTTTTATCGCTTATACATTTTTGTCAAACCTCGATTAAAACAGAACAATTAAAATAGTTTATTAATAAACAATAAAAGTTATCGATAGGCGAAAGTTATCGATAGAAAATGTTAACAGTTTTTTTTATATAAAGGTTTCTTCCCTTTAATAGACAACGTATAGAGCAAGTATAGAGCACTGCAACGCACTTGCTTATTCATATTACTTGAGAAGTTGTTTATTCGAAAATTGTGGTTATTTGGTAAGATATTGGTCTTCGTATTATCCCATATGCTGATTTTCACGCCTGTTTCGGATGAAAAGTCGTTGCCCAACACGAAGATTTTGCAGCAGCATCATGAACGTATTATTATTGATTGGTACTCGAAAGTGTTCGACGATTCCGTGCTCATATAATAGTATAGCGTTTGCATTGTTGTGGAACCTCTGTAACAAGTTCTTTCTTATTAATCTATTAATCAAATAAATATTTTCGAACTTGATTCATACTTACAGCGGTAAAAAAATAAACCGTTAAATGAATCACAAATATCGTTACAATAAGCAATAATATCAGTAACACATGCTTTCCAAACTCCGCTTCTTTGATCAATTCTACTTTAATGTCCATGACGACGGTTATACTCCTTCAAAATTCTGAGTAATTTAGCTTTTTTTTAGGAACTACAATATTTCACAGAATTGAAAATAGTTCAAGATCAATTCCAAATAAGCTGTAAGTAGCAAAAAAAAAATTTTTTTAATTATTTTCTGTAAGAAAATGTTTGAATTTTTTCCAATGCCTACTGGGATCATTTTTTAAATTTACAAAAATTCAAGATTTATGAAGATTTATTATAATTCAGTATTTTATTATCATTCTTATTAATAGGGTGATAACATTATATGCAATAGAGCCCATTCTAAAATTTGTCTCGAGGCAATGGCATGCAATATAAAAACGTTAGATACCACAAGTCACCCTAAAAAATTGTTTGGCTTACGCTCGACTAGAAATCTGTAAGGCAATGGAAGAAAAAGAATAGTTTGTGATAAATGGTCAAAGACAAAATCTATAGTAGCTGAAATAGTAGCGGAAATTTAAAAGAATATACTATAGTATATTCTAGTATACTAAAAGAATATACTATATATCTATACTATATATCTATACTATATATACTATAAAAATAGTATGTTCTTATAGTATAAGAATAGTATATTGTTATAGTATAAGAATATACTATATATTGATAATTTGTAATTATCAATAGCATATTTAATTTATAACAAAAAGTTTTAATAAATAATAGTAGGTACTTCTAATACTATTTTCCCTGTGGGTTTTCGTATTGTCGTTGCTATACATTTGAAATAAATTTCAATTAATAATATATTACATAAAAAAACTTGATATCTTAAATATAAATTATATATTCAATCAATAAAAACAAATATTTTAAAAAAAAAGCTACCTTCTCAGTACGTTTGCTTACAGCTCAACTTTTCTTCTACTTTTATATATACTTTTATATAGTAGAATAAAGTACGTATAAAATATACGTCAAATATTTCAAATTTTGGTAATTTCCCTTGTGGGAAATTTCTCTCAAATTTTCAAGGGTTGTATTCGAAATTTTTCATCTAAAATGAGTTCATTTTTTATAACAATGATTTTACAATGATTTATGAAACCTTTTTGTATGGCAAATTATACTAATTAATGGTCTTAATGAACTAAACTGCCTAAATGAGACCAGTGGAAACAGTATAACGTAAGAAATATACAAAATAAAAAGAAACCAGAATTTGTTGCTGTGGTCAATATAAATTAAAATTTCAAAAATGAGAGGATGAGGAGAAAGTTTTCATTTTAAATTTGATCACGGTGAGGAGCTTTCTTCTGTCTCGTTACGAAATAGTGTTGGTCAGTGATAAATGTTAGAATTTGTGCTGATTATAATACATTCATCTGTCTTATTTAGGCGGTTTTGTTAATTATAGCCACTAATAAAAATGATTTACTATACAAAAATCTTTCAAATAAATTAGTTCATTATTAATAAATCAGCTCATGTCGTATGTAACCCTTAAAAATAAATTTCCCACAAGGGAAATTACCAAGCATTGAAGTATGTGCCATATGTTTTATATGTAAAATGTAAACTGTGTTTTTATTAATTGAATGTGTAATTGATATGTAAAATGTATTTAAATTATTTAATATATCAATTATGTATTTAATTTTCTTGTGTGATGTATTATAAGTGTAAGTGTAGTTTATAAAAGTTCTATCAACTGTATAAATGAGTTCATTATTACACATTAATATAAATGAGCAAGTGCCTGAATGAGACAGTGTGAATGTATTATTAGGATAGTATATACAAAACATATATTTTTCTACCTTAAGGAGTATAACCCATGCCCGGGTTATATCTGCTACTGCATTATATTATATCTGCTACTGCATTATATTATATCTGCTACTGCATTTATTATATAAATTAATTATTTACTTAGTACTAAATCACTGAATTGATTACTTAATTGCTTGAATGATTACTTAATTACTAATTGTTTAAGTTCTTCTGATTGTTACTTTTTATTCACGTCTAAATTCAACTTAAATAATTCCTATGAATTCTTCCACCTTGTCATTGTCTGTTTTCTTGAACCTCAGAGTTATTTAATATATGCTAAATAAATTGTTATATTTCTGGTATGAATTTAAAAAAAATTAACACAATTTACAAGATACCTAAGCGTTATGATTCTGTGTTAAGCATATTGATTTCTTGGTCTTCAGACGATTTATTTTTTTTTAAATCAAAATTCCTTTCTGTTTTTTTTTTTTTAAACAACAAAAAAAAACAAATTTGTTCTTGATGTATTTAATGTGTATAAACAATTTTGGACTCGGTTTGCACTTCAAGTAGGCTGTTCGTTAATAATATTAATGGTTGAAAACATGGAAAGATAATAGCAGCACGTGATAAACGTATTTAACAGGTGACGCCCATTCGGTTCAAAAGGCAGTAACGGCTGAGCACAGAATGGATGAATGGATGACGACGATGAAGATAAAAATGATGAGGATGAATTATGTATCTTTGCACTTGAACTTTCTTTAACCGCAGCAGTCAAAATGTTTCTTTACAGGGCGAAAATTTGAAGGAAGTGCAGCGAGTGCGGTAACTGCAGCTTTAAAGAGCGTTGAGATACAATAAGGCTTAGAGAAAAGATAAAGAGAACAAACAAATTACCACGGATATTTATACAAGTGTGGTAAAAAGGTGATGAAAAAAATGTTATGTTAGTATCGGCGCAAGTCAGAGACAGACAAGTAACGTTCAAAGGTCATAAAGCTGATCACTGAGCTTAAAATCAAAGCAACACTGTCGTTAAAATTTGATCAAATGAGCTATATATGGTACTATGTTTGGAAGTTAAGTAAGACACGAGTACAAGCACTGGTTCCCCAACTTCTTAGTTTTAGTGAATCAGCAACGAGAAGCAGTTAGAGGGCACTTCCAATCGATTATATTAATAATAGAGAATTTCTTTACGGGAATTTGTAAGAAACTTAATGCATCAAAAATTGTTAATTCGATGAAACTCAGGCACATATCAATTGTACTCAGATTTGTATGCGCTCATAATTGAAGAGATGGGCTATATCATCAGAAATAGAGCTGTAGTTTTAAAACATGTAAGGTATGTACGGAATTATTCATTTATTCAAGAATTCTTTCTTATATTAGAACAATTTTTGTTGAATGATGAAGTCGTCTTTGTTCCTTAGTGTTGTTAAACACGGCCTGTTAAGACACGAGTAATAATACGTACTAGAATTTGTATGAGTTATTGAGTGTTATTGAGGGCTTTAATTATTTTGATGCTACCTTGATCGTGTTGATGTTGCCTCTGCAAGAGTAGTTATTGGTATATTCAAGATAGTTAGAAAGTGAGGAGTCCACTGCTTGTATCACTATTTAGAGGAATTTTTGGCTGTACTTTTGAAAAGAGACTTTATTGTCTTTCGCCTGAAGATTGTGCAGAAAGAGAAATATTAAAGAAGTTTTAAGTTATAGTCTTCAAGAAGTAGAAATTTCGATTTTATTAAAAGGTGGGATCTGGAGATAGTGATATTTTGTTTGAATTTTCATGGTACAATACACCGATTAACTCTAAAGTGTACTTTCATCAACTGCGTAAATTGAATAATTAACTTTAAGAGTAAATAAATTGAAAAGATGTAGTGTTTCAGCAATATAATGTGAGTTTCCATACAAAGCTTACCAACACCCAACATATACTTTCGATCTGACGCCTTCAGGTTATTATTAATTTCGATTTCAACAAAATTTCATATACGATAAAAATTTTCTTCAAATAAGCAGGTCACATATCAACGCATATTACAAAAATGTTATCAGACTGGCTTCAAGTTGAAAATATATAATTCAAATATGGTATATGTTACATGTATTCACTAGAAGAAAACATCTTTCATGTTTGCTGGCTATGTCTGGCTAAAGCTGGACTTCTAAGCACTAAGCATCTTTATCTCAACTCTCTCCTATAATTATTGGAATTACTGCGCTCCAGTGATGGGTCAGTGATGGAAAGTTTCTCACTATATTCCTTTGAAGTGGTTTCAGTGGGTTAAAGACTTGCACCGTGACTATCAATGCTTTCTACCAGCCTCCAAAAAAAAAAAGGAAAATATGTCTACTTAACAACAATGTTTCCTTGAAAAAATAAACAAAATAACTTTCCAAATAACGTTATACATTGCGGTGTAGTATCATCTGTTTTCTAAACGATATCTGTGCTGAATAATATTTAATAAGCTTTAATAATTTGATTAAATACTTTCATGGTTGTAGTTTTCTGTTAGATCGTGCATAATAGATCAAACTGGTCGCAGTGCATGGGGGTCTTAGCCTAACCCGAAAACCCCCAAATATCATTAACCATTTCTATTAGATCACATATCTCTTCTCTAGCAATTTATTGCAACACAACACTTGATTATTGAGCTCCATTTAATATTGTTTTTATTTATTATCGATTTATTATTTTTAGATTTAAAACGTTGAGTTTCTCAAATGAGTCCACCTATCTGTCCGTGTTGACCTGTTCTAAATTGTAGCTCAAAGCTGTCTTAAACGATTAGCTATATAATAAATTCTTTAAAAATGTTGAGAATGATTTAAAGTTTGGCTTTGATTGGCTTTGTCCTGTAGTCAGATAAAACAGGCACGTTTCGCATTTTTTCATAAATTTGATTAAATTTAGTACCACAATGTGCGCAGAGGTGTGAACAGAGCAGAACAAAAAGAAAAAAATTGAAAAAAATAAAAAAAAATAAAAAAAATCGATATAATAAAATAAATTTGATGTAAACAAGTGTTTTGTGAAACGTTTAATCTGTGGTCAGGAAGCCACCAAAGTTGTTGGCCCCACACCACACCTGCACCCAAGCACAGTTGCCCATGTGTCAACTGCACAATTCGCAGGCTTTGTACATAAATATTGCGAGCGGACCGACTCAACGGCTCTGTAGCTAAGCGGGCTTGTAGGTAACTCGTTAACTGAACTGAAAGGTTCTGCTGATTGAAATTAATTAGCGGTTGATTATATAGTAGGCGCTACCTTGGCCTAACGCGGCTTGCTTTTCAAAATTTCATATGCAACTGCAGACAGACAGCGCAACGCATAACGCATAACCGAACGAACGTACAAACACTCCACAACGTCTACAGACCTATATCGGAATTGTGGTTAGTACATGATTGTATATACGTGTGTGAATGCATATATCTTTTCACAGTGTGGACAAATGAATATATATATATATATATGTATGCATACATGAAGTGAAAATTGAATGCTTAATTTAATATTAATAATTGCACTCATATTTTTTATGTCATCGAAGTGGTTAATTGTGTAATGGATTATGTGTGTTAACCAAATTGTTGTTGAGATGAAAAGTGTTGGTAAAACGAGAATCTGTCATGCAAATAATATAAATATTGACAGATACTTTAGCGAACATTATGTAGAGATGAGAAACACATTAGTGGTTGAGTAAAAGTATTTTATAACTATGAATACTGACTGCAGTTTAAGAATGTATTGGATTTTAAGTGGACAGATTACTTTATTGATTACTTTAATGGCTATCTCTTTTAAATTATGTTAAATAAATGAAAGATCGAATTTTTAAACATAACTGACAAGTATTATTAAGTTATTTAATATAGAGCTTTCGTAGAGTAGTGAATTGTAACAACAAATTTTTTATTTAATTTTAAATATTGAAAAATATTCATCATCAGTAGACTTGAAATTATTTTTTGTATTTAATTATTCGTAAATAATTTTTTGAGACTAAAAGTAACAAGGTTGGAACACGTACCCTGCCAATTTCGGAGCTTAGAGTTACTGTTCACTATCCAACTGAGCCAAAGCTATGGTTGAATTAAACATACATAACACATATTTGCTCATC